TGAAACATATTGTTAGATTCTCACTGGGTTCAGGGACATTCCTGGAATATCAAGAATGCCTATGGCAAATACTTCCAGAAAGGGTTCTATTATTTCTATATTACCAACGGAAGTTTCTGGTGTATTTAGGCTCTTTAGTTTTAGCTACCTGTTTTAGTTCAGGATACAGTAATACCCACCATGTGTTACTGCCTCCTTGGTTTCTCCATATCTATAGTTAAAATTGCTGTTGGGATCCATTTGGGTGTCATTTTCAACCACACTCACATGGCGGATTATCAACCGACGCTTCACCCCGCTACTCAGCAAGGAACAGAAGTTGGCGCCCGGAAGGAAATGGCTGTGGCAAGCGCCACAGGTGGTTTCTTCCCACTCCTCTTTTCGCAAGAGCATCAAGAAATGATGGACATAAGGTGACATAACAAACATACTACATGGATCTAGATGGTAAATAAACCATAAATAAACCCATATTAGTGGTTGTCAGTGGTTAAGATTCGCCTACAAGACTGGGATGTTCTTGGGTCACCTTTGCAGGGTTCCCAAGATTGAAAGCATCAACCTGCCGATCTAGCGATTTACCAAAAACGATCCGCCAATTCTACGTCCGACCCGCCAGTCCTCTTCCTGACCTGTAGAAGGTAAGTACGCATCAAGTTCTCACAAACAGCGAACGTCTATTCGCTGGTAAATGATGATAAAAAAAAACCTGGGCAATGAAAATATATGAACATATTATGTAATCATACCCGAGCTTCCCCCAGTAACAATCGTCATTTGACGTGATATCTATCCATCAGAACAGCGAATAAGTACAGGGTCCTTCAACCATCGATAAGCACAGACACATCAGAAAATTGAACTTCCAGCATCATAATTTTCTCGGATGTCTTTCAAGTGAAACTGTGTGATATATGGTAATATGACTAATCAGAATCAAGGTATCACCAGCGGTTGGTATCTTACTCACCAAGAATAAGATTAGGACCAAGAGTTCCCAAAGAAATAGTACCCACAGAGGTTCGGAAGAGTTTGTTTTTTCACGCATCTCGCTTTAGCATTGTTTTTGGGCAGGCTATGACTATGGATCAAAATAGCAGGTTTAACTAAGGCCCAACATATTTTTTAATGAGATTGAATTCATGATATGTTGACTCATTATTCTATTGATGATCTATATTGTCACGTTTCTCATATGTTTGACACTTTTTTGATTCAATACTATTCAATGATCCCATATTTATTGAATTATTCATTGGCCCATGGTTCTTGAATTAGGAATGGGTCAATTAGGCCAGGATCAAGGACGCTACTGATCCACAACGACGGGTCTGGGTGTCAGACTTTGGTTCCTGGCGGTGGGGTCTTGGAGTTTTAAAGTCATCCGATCATAATGGGGATGTAATACAAAAATACCTCACATATAATTAGAATGGATATGTTTAGCATATTTAAGCAACAAAAAATGGGGCTTTGTCAAAAAAAACGTGTGGATTTATCATACAGTAGTTTTCATGAGAAACATGATGACGAACGGATTCTTTAGGCTGTAGGTACCCAGTACCCCAGTACCCCCATTTGAGACACTCCAATTTCTGCAGTATATATATATATAGAATGCCGTCTCAAAGACGGTACAGTCTGTACTGCAGGTTGGATCATATGGCTCCTGGCTACCCTGAAAGAGTTGGGTATGAAGAAAGAGCCAGATGGTAATTTGTGGTTTGGGTAGTTTAGATACATGGATACCCGGTTGTGAGGAAATCCTGGCATTCCAACCATGTGAAACATTGACTTGGAAGATTCCTCGGGCGTCCGACCACAGAGCCGCTGTGCAAGGGAAAATAGCAATAACATAGCTGACCAGTGTAGGAAAAGCGGCAGCTTAAGATTCCTCATACAACCGTCAACAAAAATTCAGCTCTTCTACCCTTCACCGCTCGCTTTACCCAGGTACTACCAGCTCCATTACATAGGTTTGTTTGAAGATAAGGTCCCCAAAATCCATCTAAATCCAATAATTAGTGCATCATCCGTTTCAGTTATTTTCATGTTCACTTATTTTCACCATCAAAATGGGCAATTTGGGAGTATAGTATACTCAGTATACCATATTCTCAGACACCAACCCAAATCAACGAGGATCAACGCCGCGGCATGACACTGCGCTGCCGCAGTGATCCTTTTCAATTCTGCACAAAGTGCTCCGAAGTCGTGACGGGCACCCCGCACAATTGGCTAAAGGCGGCCGCGGCCAAACGACACGTGGCACCATCTGCAAACATTGCACAGAGGTACCGAGCTTCACTGCCATATTTCCTCAGTGGAAAGACAAACTATGACACGCATTGGCATACACAATGGGTTTTGTCTCCTTCAAACTGTGGACGAAAGATCAAAAATAATTTTGAGATGTTTTGAGTCAAAATTGGTTGCCTAAAGAGGCCAAACTGTGTGGGTCCATTGGTGGAAAATGTGTCGATCCATACCAAAATGACTTCAAAATGTGAGCCATCGGCCATCGCTACCCTCTGGTAATCAAACATGGTTTGCTGGAAAATGGCACATTAAAAACTCCAATGAGTTCGGGGATTTCCCAGATAACCATGTTTGATGACACGGTTGGGGCTATCTCTTGCCCAAGTTTCTGAAAGTGAAAACGAAACGACAAGGTCTTGTCAGCAGGAGGCGGCTCAGGCAGAATGCTAGCAGCAATGCCAAAAGAGATACACTGCAAATGATCGATATCCCAGGAATCCTCGGATGAATGTCTCAGGGCAAAAGGTGGGTCGGTAAGCGGGTAGCTGGGTAGCTGGGTAGCTGGGTAGCCAGGTAGCCAGGTAGCCAGGTAGCTTACTAGCTAGCGGAATCAAGGAAGAAAAATAAGTAGGGGGGTGCGTAAGTGGTAGGGAGGAAAATGATTTTTCTGAAGCCTGAAGCGCTGGATTTTAGGTGGTTTCCCATGATTTTCAAGTACCAAACCCATATGTTTGGGGGTTGAATGATCCAATACTGTTCAGGAGTTAAAGTGAAATGGCTACCAGTAGTACCTCACAAGGCAGTGGCGGAAGCTTCAAAAATAGGAAACCTATGGGAGAGGTTGGTTGCTGTGAATCACGGATGGCAGAGCGAACCCACTGATGGACCAAAAGGTGGTTGGAGTTTTTCTTTGGAATGATTGCAATGGTTGCAGTGGTCACCTATCCACAACTGCTGGATGTAGTGTGGTGCAGTGTAGTTGCAGTTGTTGCAATTGTAGCTGTAGTTGTAGTGTAACGTAATGGAGCGGAGTTAATGTAGTGTAATTAGTGTAGTTGCAAGTGCAGTTGCAGTTGTTGTCGTGGTGTGGTGTAATTAGTGTAGTGTAGTGCAGTGTAATGTCGTGTAGTGTTGTGTTGTGTGGTATAGTGTAGTGTAGTCTAGTGTAGTGTGTAGTGTAGTGTGGTGTGGTGTGGTGTAGTGTAATGTAGTGGTAGTTGTAGTTGTAGGTGTACGTGTAGTTGCAGTTGTAGCTGTAGTTGTAGTTGTAGTGTAATTAATGCAATGTAATCAGTGAAGCGTAGTGTTGTGTAATCTAGTGTGGTTGTAGTTGTAGTTGTATTTGTAGCTGTAGCGTGCTGCAGTGTAATTTGTGTATATAGTGTAGTGTAATTTTAATTGTAGTTGTAGTTGTGGTAGTAGTCGTTGTTGTAGTTGTAGTGAAATTGGTGTAGTGTAGTGTAATTAGATGTAGTGTAATGTAGCGTAGTATATTTGTAGTTGTAGCAGTAGCGTAGTGTAGTGGTAGTTGTAATTGTCTATCTATCTATCTATCTATCTGTCTGTCTATCTATCTATCTATCTATCTCTCTATCTCTCTATCTCTCTATCTCTCTATCTCTCTCTCCCTCACTCCCTCTCTCTCTCTCTCTCTCTCTCGCTCCGTCCGTCCGTCCGTCCGTCCGTCCGTCTGTCTGTCTGTCTGTCTGCAAGCTTGAAAACGCAGCAATTCTGTGAGACTTCCTCAATTTTTAAACTTGACAAATCCAAAACGAAGCAATTCTGCGAGACTTCCTCAATTTTGACCTTGACAACATCAAACGAAGCAATTCTGCGAGACTTCCTTCAAAAATGGAAAGTTGAGTGCAGAGCTGACGGCCTCGTACCAATGCGTTTTGCGATTTTTCCAGTCCATCTGTCTAAATTAACCCAGCTTTGCAACCCAACAGCATACCTGAATCTTCCACCTACGTCTTTTTTCAGACCCTGTGCCAAAGTCCTGTTTTTTCAGTACCCAGAAAACTTTTCAGGACCTACTCTCAAATTCAGGACCTGGCCATTTTTGGGGTATCAATGGTAATGGCAATCATTGGGTGCAAACATGTGAAACCAACATTTGGTGGATATTCAAGCCATTGGCATTGATCCACGCAAATAAAAGCACTCCCAGCCCAAACTCATGGCAAGGCAGGATCAGAATATAGTAGTATATTCCAGAAAGTATGTCAGAATAGATGCCAGATAGGATGCCAGAAAGAATGTCAAATAGAATCTCAGAAAAGAATGTAAGATAGTATGTCAGAACATATATGCCACATATACGTCCAGATGATATGTCAGAAACTATGTCAGAATAGTGTGTCAGGGTGGGGATCACTCTTAGTAAGGCAATTTTGAAAATATATTTCAGGTTCGGAATTTTCAAACTGTTGTCCTTCAGGCGCCGAAGCTCCCGTTGAAGGTCAGCATCGCCCCATGTCAACTGGTCCAGTCCCACTTCCATTTCAACAAGTCCAACTTCATCGATTAGGGTGTTGGTTGAATGGACTTGGGACTCTAGCTGGCACGGCATCCCTTGTAACCCTGTAGACACTGTAGTTGGCAAAAAGATTGTAACACACAGAATCAGCATCATTTTGAGCAGGCATTCTTTTTGCTAATCCTTTCTCCCTATTACGAAAAATACCCCCAAATGACAAAAACTAGGTGCGATTTCCAATTTTGGGAAATGTCAAATTGGTTAATCTGATTTTTAATTGATCCCCTTGAGGAAACAATTTTAAAAATGAAGGTACCATGTGAGGGTTTCACCCCCAAAGAATAAAAAACTAGTCAACACCGGGGTGTCTTTTATTGGGGTCCGTCCTTTAAAATCGTCAATTTTAGTTTTTTTAATTCAGGTGTTGGTGTTTTATTTGATACTAGGCGAAAGCTTCGAAATCCTATTCTTGGCAGTATTCTATTTAAAGATTATTTTCATGGATTTTGGAATTAGAAACAAAAAACGGTTTAATCCCTTCCCCCTGTTGCTAAACAGTCGCCCCTTCACCCACCCACCCAAATAACAAACACCTGGAGGAGTTTCTAGTATTGGGGGGGTCTTTAGTATTAGGGTACGAAGCTTCCCCCTAATACTGAATAAATCCAATTAAAATATGGCAAACAAGTGGATTCCGAAGCTTAATATCAAATAGAAATACCCAACATAAAAAACTATGTATGTTTTTCTATTTCGAAATCGATTAGATTTCCTTTTAAAAATTAAATAAAATATGGCCAAAAACTGGATGTCGAAGCTTTTCCCTTATATTAAACCCTAATATCATTTTGTTTTTTTCCTGTTTCAAAATCGATTAGATTTCATTTTGAAATCTAATGGAAAAAACAAAAAATTGATTTTGAAGCTTTCCCCTAATATCAAATTAAAATCCAATTATTAAAATATGTTCAAAAATTAGATTTCGATGCTTCCCCTAATCTTGCATGAAAAATTCCAATATAAAAAACTAAATTTGTTCTATTTCAGAATCGATTAGATTCCTTGTAAATTCAAATTAAGATATTGCCAGAAATTGGATTTCGAAGCTTTCCCCTCATATTAAACCCTCATATCAAAGACTATTTTTTCTATATCAAAATTCATTAGATTTCCTTTTGAAATCTAATTAGAATATGGTCAAAAATTGGATTTTGAAGTTTTCCCCTAATATTACATTAAAAAACCCTAATATAAAATATTATTTTTTCTTTTTTGAAATCGATTCGATTTCCTTTTAAATTGTAGTAACAAAAATAAAAACAAAAACCGGATTTCGAAATGTTTCCTCTAATATTAAATTACCAGCCCTAATATATTTTTAAAAAAAAACTGTTTCAAAATCGATTAGTTTTCTGTTTAACATATAATTAAGATATTGCTAAAAATTGGATTTCGAAGTTTTCCCCTAAGATTAAATTAAAACCACTAATAAAAAAAAACTATGTTTTTTCGATTTCAAGAATCGATTAGATTTCCTTTTGACATCCAACAAAAATATTGCCAGGAAATGCCAAAAAGTGGATTTCGAAGTTTTCCCCCAATATTATATAAACGTTGTAATATAAAATACTTATTTTTTCGACCTTAAAAGACCCTAGTTTAAATCATCACCGGGGCTGACTAGTTTTTATTTTTTGGTGGTGAAATCCTGAAATGGGACCTTCATGTTTAATTTGTTTTTGAAAAGGTATCAATTAAAAGTCAAACTGGCCAGCCTGAAATTTCCCAAAATTTAACGCGGACCCTAGTAAAAGGAATCAATGTAATATTTTAGTATTTAGGGTACGTTTAGTAAAAGGAGGTGGGGATTAGTAAGGTTTTCAATTTAATATAAGGGGAAGCTTCGAAATCCAATTTGGCAAGATTTGAGTTAGATTTTGAATAGGAGTTCAATCGGTTTTGAAATATAAAGTTCATTTTTTAAAACGAATGTTTTCAATTTAATGTCAGGGGGAAGCTTCGGAATCCAATTTTGGCAATATTTTAGTCAGATGTTATTTAAAAAATGTTTTCCAATTTAGTTTTTTTAAAACCAAGGGGGAAGTTTCGCACCCTCATACTAAATACCCACTAAATACAAAAAACTATTCCGTGTGTTCATTATTGGGTGGGGAGGGGCAGACGGTTTATTATGACGCAGGGATTGGTCAGGCATCACTTGCTGGAATTATTGGATTCTTTTGGGATGATTGGTATGATGTTTAGTCAGGCATGGTTCCCAGTCAGGCATGGTTCCCTTCAGTCATGCACGATTTTTGCAAAAATCCAATTTAGGCACGACCCCAAAATCCCAGCCCGGCAAATTCCGGCCCGCGCCCTGCAAATTCCGGCCCTGCGTTTTTCCAAAATCAGGCAAAACCAGTAAATCAGGTATTAAGTCAGGTGTAGTTACCTTTTAAGTCATTAAGGCTAGTCAGGCATGGTTCCAGTGGGTACCTTTTAATTGTGAAGGCTAGTCAGGCATGGTTCCCTGAATTCAGGGGCATGGGTACCTTTTAATTATGAAGGCTAGTCAGGCATGGGTTCTGTTAAGTCAGGCGTGGGTGGGTACCTCTTAATTATGAAGGCTAGTCAGGCATGGTTCCCTTAAGTCGGGTGTGGTTACGCTTTAAGTCATGAAGGCTAGTCAGGCATGGGTACCTTTTAAGTGATGAAATCTGAATCAGGCGGAGCTCCTATTCTAAATGTGTTAAATCCAATTGTTCAGTGTGGAAAATCGATTTTTTGGCTGGTCTACGGGCAAACCCTGTGTCTTCCAATACCATAGCGTGCTGATGTCGCTTGCCTGCATAATAGTTAAGGCCAAAGCTTAGGTCATCAGTGTGATCCTGAAATGGCGCCACGACCAAGAAGATGACATGTGTAAAATGGGCCCTGGATTAACAAAGGCTGACTAATGAATTTGGAGGATGCCACTAAAGTATGACATGTAATCACTTTTGAGGAGCACTCTATGGCACGCAGCGCGCGCAGCCTGCTTTACGGTTTAGCGTTTGAAAGTTTTAGGCTTTGCCTCTATGGCACGCAGCGTTTGAAAGTTTAACCGTTTACCTCTATGGCAGGCTGTGCGCGCAGTACGCGTTACGGTTTAAAGTTTGAAAGTTTTAGGGTTTATGTGTCGCACGCAGTGCGCGCAGCGCGCATTAGGGTTTAGGGTTTGGAAGTTTTATAGTTTATTTTATTGCATGCAGCGTGCACAGCGTGGGTTGAACTTTAGGGTTTCGAAGTTTTAGGGTTAACCTCCATGACACGATGGTTTAGGGTTTGGAGATTTTAAGGGGTACTTCTATGGCACACAGCGCGCGCAGCGCGCGTTAGGGTTTAGGGTTTAGGGTTTGGAAATTTTAGGGTTTACCTCTATGACACGAGAGTTTCAGGTTTGAAGATTTTAGGGTTTATTTCTATTGCACGAAGCGCGCGCAGCGCGCATTAGTGTTTAGGGTTTGAAGGTTTTAGGGTTTATCTCTGGCACGCAGCGCGCACAGCACGCATTAGGGTTTAGGGTTTGGAAGTTTTAGGGTTTATTTTATTGCATGCAGCGCGCACACCGCGGGTTAAACTTTAGGGTTTGGAAGTTGCATAACACGATGGTTTAGGGTTTGGAAATTTTAGGGTTTACTTCTCTGGGACACAGCGCGCGCACCGCGCATTAGGGTTTAGGGTTTGGAAGTTTTAGGGTTTACTTTATTGCATGCAGCGCGCGCAGCGCGCATAGAGTTTAGGGTTCGGAAGTTTTAGGGTTTCAAGGGTTCCAAGGTTCCAGGGTACCAGGGTCCCACGGTTTCAGGGTTCCGGTTTCAGGGTTCCAAGGTTCCAGGGTTCCAAGGGTTCCAAGGGTTCCAAGGGTTCCAGGGTTTCAGGGTTCCAGGATCCCAGCAGGGTGCCAGGTGTGCAGGGTTGCAGGGTTCCAAGGTTCCAGGGTTCCAAGGTAGCAGGGTTCCAGAATCCTTGAGGGTTCCTGGTGCCAAGGTTCCAAGGTTTCAGGGTTCCACGGTCGCAGGGTTCCAGGGTTTCAGGGTTCCAGGGTCCGGGGTTCCAGGGTTCCAGGGTTCCGGGGTTCCAAGGTTTCAGGGTTCCAGGGTTCCAGGGTACCAGGGTACCAGGGTCCCACGGTTTCAGGGTTCCAAGGTTTCCAGGGTTCCAAGGGTTCCAAGGGTTCCAAGGGTTCCAAGGGTTTCCCAGCAGGGTGCCAGGTGTGCAGGGTTCCAAGGTTCCAGGGTTCCAAGGTTGCAGGGTTCCAGAATCCTTGAGGGTTCCAGGGTGCCAAGGTTCCAAGGTTTCAGGGTTCCACGGTCGCAGGGTTCCAAGGTTCCAGGGTTTCAGGGTTCCAGGGTTCCGGGGTTCCAGGGTTCCAGGGTTCCGGGGTTCCAAGGTTTCAGGGTTCCAGGGTTCCAGGGTTCCAGGGTTCCAGGGTTCCAGGTTCCATTCCGGATTTTGAAGGCTGCAAGTCCCCGCGAGCCAGCCCCAGCCCTAGAGATTGAAACCCAACAGGCCCTGCTGTTGGGAACTACTGCGCCTGCCACGAAAAAGTGATGCCAGGTTGTACGAAGTGCTGCACCTGTCACGCAAAATCATATCAGCAAACCTGAAAATCTGAGGCTCCAAAATGCAACCCCTCTCAGGAAATCAGCGCCCGGACCTCCTAACAGCTCTGATGAACATGTCTCTTGTATTGTGCCTGCCACGGAAGAATTGTATCTTTGCAGATCCTCTTCAAATGCCCCACGCCTGCCATCGGTTTTGAAACTGCTACAAAACCTCACGCTTCGCTCACATTTGACGAAGTTCACAATCCCCTGCACCTGCCACGCAAAACCAAATCTGAACCTTCAAAAGTGGTCCGAGCATGTGGTGCTTTTAACATGGAAATGTGCTTCGCGCCACAACCGCGTGCACTTTTTCGACATGTCAACTTCCAAAAGTGCTACGAGGCTGAGGTGCTTTGTACATTTTGACTTGGAAATGTGCTTCGCGCCACAACGGCGTGCACTTTTTCGACATCTCAACTTCCAAAAGTGGTCCGACACTGAGGTGTTTTGTACATTTTGACTTGGAAATGTGCTTCGTGCCACAACGAAGTTCACTTTTTTTCCCACCTGCCAGGTGAGGGTTGTTAGATTTTATCAGAGCTGTTCTCCTCCTCCTCCGCCTCCTCCATCTCCTCCTCGTCCTCCTCCTCGCAGTCCAGATCCCAGTGGGCACAGCCGGACCTCCACCGCGCACTGCCGGACCTCCAGATCCCAGTGGGCACTGCCGGACCTCAACCGCGACTTCCAGGTTGCAGTGGGCACTGCCGGACCTCAACCGCGACTTCCAGATCGCAGTGGGCACTGCCGGACCTCAACCGCGACTTCCAGATCGCAGTGGGCACTGCCGGACCTCAACGGGAAGAATGTCAGAAAAGATGTCAGATAGAATGTCAGAAGATATGCCAGATAGAATGCCAGAAAGAATGTCAGAAAGAATGTCAGAAGATATGCCAGACAGAATGTCAGAAGATATGCCAGAAAGAAGTCAGAAGATATGCCAGATAGAATGTCAGAAGATATGCCAGATAAAATGCCACGAGATATGCCAGATAGAATGCCAGATATGCCAGATATGCCAGAAGATATGCCAGATAGAATGCCAGAAGATGCCCAGATAGAATGCCAGAAGATATGCCAGATAGAATGCCAGAAGATTTGCCAAAAGATATGCCAGATAAAATGTCAGATAGAATGTCAGAAGATATGCCAGATAGAATGCCAGAAGATATGCCAGAAGATATGTCAGATAATGCCAGAAGATATGTCAGATAGAATGCCAGAAGATTTGCCAGTAAGAAAATGTATAAATGTCATGGTGGGGATCATTCGAAGTGAAGTAATTCAACAGCTCAACTTCCAAAAATGCTCCGAACCCGTCAGTTTTTAAACCCTTTTGACTTGGAAATGTGCTTCGCGCCACAACGGCGTGCACTCTTTTGACATCTCAACTGCCAAAAGTGGTCCGAACATGGTGTGCTTTGTACATTTTCACTTGCACATGAGCTTCGCGCCGCAGCGGCGTGCAATTTCTCATCTATCATCTGGCCAGATTTCTCCGCACCCGCCGCTTTAGCGAGCCTACTTTTCAACCCTCTGGAGCCACAGATCATTGGAAAAACACAGTGTTTCGCAACTTTCGTATCTTTTCGCGCACCTGGATCTTCTTTCTTCTGACTGTCTCTTCTTTGATCTTCTTTTTTCTTCTCTTCTCTTCTCTTCTCTGACTCTTCCCATCTCTGCTTTTCATCTGTCCATGTTGTCGGAAGTTTGACTTCTAACCTTCCTTCGAATATCCATATTTTAATATTCATTAAATCCAGTTCTACATATATATATATATATCCCATATGTCGATCAATCAAGAAATCGTAGCCTGGACTCCTCACAGGACCCATCGGCGCGCAAGATTTGCATCCTGCGACTCGCTTGCAGAAGTCCAAGTTTGCGATCTTCAGGTTGACGGCCTGGGGATCAAGAGGGATATCGTGGGAAATCTGTGACAAACCATGAAGAGAAAACACTATTTTTTGGAGGTGTCCTAAATTTCCCTGTAAAAGGGCAGTTCATGTTGGAAACACCATGGACCATGTTCTTTTCCCTACAATATACATAATATAATTATATATATAATATAAGAAGGGTTGGGTTTCCTGCACACGTTCACTTCAGCCAATCTTGGGAAGCCATTCCTGCTCCAATATACTAACATCAAAGCATAAATACCCAACAAACATGACTCAATTCTTGTAGGTACATGTGCCGCAACATGGGTTTTTGATTGCCTGTACCAGCACACATCCAAACAAACAAACTGCAATCATAAGTGGTACATAAAAGAACCCATGTCTGAGACCACAAGCCTTCTTTGTTCAATGTTTCACCCCTGTTTTGGTTACATGTGCCCATCATTTGTGCTTGAACCCCGTTTCATTGGATACGTCCCAACTGCTGTTGGTTTATCCGCGTTTATCCCCGTGTTCCTTGGTCCTGTCACTATATTTAGCTGTTTGAATGCCCATTGTTTTTTTTTTGGCAAGTCGTTGGGTATCTCAAAATCGATGGTATGTAACAGTATTCCAAGATCCTGAAAATGACAATTTCAGAAGCTCTCAACCGGCTGTGAATACTAAAATGGCCCAAACCGGTCCATACCCAAATGGAGTATATTTATTGTTGGCATTTTATTCAAAGAAAACATGAGCAGTGTTGGGCCATATAGTGTATATCATGATTGCTGCCAATCGTCTGTAAAAACCCAGAAGCGCCAGCATTTGTCGGTCTCAAACATAAGTTGGTTTCTTGCAGTTTCATCCCAAATGAACGTGATGAACCTCTGCAAAAATACAAACTCTTTTCGCCGGTGAGTCTATTCCTCCATGTATGGTCAAAGAAATGACAGTAGCCAAGCAAACAAAGCTTACACCCAATCCCCAAATTATTCATCACTTGGCACCACTATCGCAAATATGGTTCAATATGATTTAAATGTAAATATGTACATATGTAGATATATATATACATAATCATACATATATACATATATTATATCATCATATATTATATCATATATTGAAACCACCAAAAAGCGGGTCAAAGCATCACCCAGCAGCGTTTATTGAAGACCATGACATCCAGTTGACCACGGAGAATCACGTCTCTCATCTCTCTCACCTTGCTGTGTCATCCCACGGATGGGAACTAAGTTGTCCTAAGTGGGTTTGTTCTATTGGTCCATATATATATATATAACTGTGTACATCATATACGAGAAATATAAGGGTTATATATATATATACTATATATGAGGTTATAATTTGATAAAACCCACCAAGTATTCCCAGTGGGTTCATCCTCCGAGTGGTCTTGTGAATACTTCAACCAATCCTTCACAAGCAAATTTAGACCAGAACTTGACGTAACAAAAACACACACACCTGGTCAAGCTGTGTAGCATGATTTATATATATATATTTATGGATATATATATAATGTTTATATATCGGTGTGCATATAAACTAACATGATCATGATTTAGCTCAATGATCCGCTACTACTGTACTATCAGATATCATCATTTCGGTTCGTTTTGGGGTATCCTTGAGTTTTTTTTTTCCAACAACCCAGAACTATTGCTGGTTACATACCCGCATGGGATCCCCATTATATCTCCATTTTTTTTTAATTCAATCCCCAGCGGTTTTTTGTGAACATAGAACCCCCAAAAGAAATAAATTAAACCCTCTTTTGTGTCGCCACGTCCCAAAAACATAGTCAAAACATGTTTGGCGGGTGGAATCGGTTGAAATCCAAAACTCATGTTGATTGGTTGAATATCATGGTTTTTTATCGCAACAAACATGGTTGGTCACATTTAAAAAAACATCATTCGAATCGAAAATTTTCTGGGTGAAATCATTGAAATCCCAAACTCCTGGAGAATCCTAACATCTTTTCATTCGAATATGTTCGAATCCAATTTTCTGGGTGAAATCCCAAACTCCTGGAAAATCCAACATCTTTTCATATCTTTTCATCCCCATTCTTTTCAAAGTCTGACAGTGCCACCTTCGTTGAAAACGGGCACCTGCTCCTGATCTCTTCCTCGCCTCAGCTCGGACCTGCTCTCACTGAGCTCCATCTTTGGGTCCTGGCCACGGCAAAACGTGGGTCTAAATTCACCCATCATGGTGATATGTAACTGGATATACTACTCTATATATATATAATGTATATATATATATATTATGTATATATATATATATTATGTATATATATACATATTATGTATGTATGACATGTGTCTATACGTATGTATATGTATATATATGTATATATATATTCTTGTTTGTGGACGTAGACATATGTAATAATATATATATATATATTATATAATGTATGTATTATAACCCATCCATTCTGGATTTGAAGTGATCTAAAATAAGCCAACTTGCCGCTAGAGGAAGCATCTGGCTTCTGCCCGTCCTTCAAAACATATGAGATCTGACTTCCGATTGCTTCACATGAGCTCCTTAGAGGTGTGAGGCTCGTGGGCTGGTGATGGGAGATCATTATGGCTAGTAAGGATAGAAAACAAAACATATTCAGAAATCACTCACCAGGATACTCCGCATTTCCCAAGCTGCTTGTCCATTTTCAGTTTTTTGTTCTGGTCAAATCCCTGCTTGTCCTCCTTAATTCACCATGTTAGTTGGCGAATAGACCATCACTAGTCCATTTCACAGCTATGATGACTTCTTGGATCAAATGGGAAGTCATGGCCAATCTTTGACATCCTGCAAAATATTTGTTTAGCTGATTAGTGTATATATAATATTGTATTTTCTATATAGTTATATATATATATGTATATGTATATATATATATGTATATATATATATACATGGGTAAATTATAATCTTTCACTAACCTGAATTAAGGCCATTTGGGGATGATTTCCCTTGAGGATTATAATGATGATTCCAGTGAAGTCGCAGTGAGGTCGTGTATATTTATACATATATGTATACATACATATCTAACTACCTATTCTCGTTTATAGCAATTAGATTAGCTAAATTCAAGATAATAGCCATGAATATTCATAATTCTTACTTAAGTTTTATATCCCAATTATATATATATATATAATATACACATCAACTTATCAAATATTGTCTGTATATATATATATATATGATTCCCGCTATGTACTGTAATCAATGGTATGTAAGCTTATAATATAATGTTATGTTATGTATGTACAAGCATCATCCCAAAATTCCAAGTGGCAGAAAAAGAAATTTACTACCTGCAATGGACATGGCAAAAGCGGGTGGTCCCCTATCTTTTGTGAAACTTTGTATGTGTGAAAATAGGGTATCGGTAAGTGGGTGGTCCCCTATCGGTTGTGAAGGTTTTCGCACAAACTTGAAATCCCAAGTCCACTCCCTACTACTTTAGTTTTCCGTTAATTTTGTCGGTCACTCATATAACTACCATTGGTTTACGATGGTTGTACAAATTATCATTGTTAACATTACTTCTAATATGTGGGTCAATAATAAACCACCCATTTGGGAATGGTTTATACATGTTTATCCTATAAAAATGGTGACTGGGGGATGGTGCAAATGGCACCATAGTTTTCCCACCGAGGCTCAACGTCACCCGGGATCCCATCAGCAGCGACGCCCTGGGCGACGACTGCATGGAGAGCCGTGGCGATGCCCGCGGCGACGGGGAGCCGTCGCTGAGCGTCGCCGGAAGCGGCGGGAGGCTCTGACTTCCTGGAAGCGGAAAGCAACAGGACGTGGTGCCCCATAGTTAGCTAAGTTGGTTTATAACTCCCATAACTATGGTTTATGGTAGATATAACTATAGTTAATGGGGTTTATAAACCAACTTATAATTGGGGGGCACCATCCTGAACAGGACATGGACAAATTGGAGAACACCAAGATAGAAGAACAAGGCATTTCAGGAAAGCCGAGAATGCAGCTGCTGAGTTGGCCAATAAACGATTTGCTGGGTTGATCCAATGTCATGCACAAAGACTTTGGTGACCCCAACAAACAAGAAAGGAATAGGAATAGGTCTCATTGGGGTCATTGTGAAGCTCAACTACTGGCCGGATCTAGCCGGAAGATATCAATTTGCTAAGGAAATCCAACTCTACATACTTGGGGAATAGCAACCTAAAGGATCTCGAATTGCCAAAGCTCATTGCATTTCCCGAGGAAAACATTGTTCCTTATTTTTGCTTTACACATCTGGCTCAACCAATTTCACGTTTTTTGAGTTGATGTGCAACGCCTAGAACGGGGACATATGAGTAAGGGTCAGAAGCAGAATTTGGTTCTCAAACGTACTGGATGGTCTATTCTCGTGACCAGCATCCTGTAGTTCCTGTGGTTCTTAATCCCATCCCCGACTATTAGCCTCATGTGACCCGCAAAATGAATAGATCACGAAACTAGGTTTTCTTCGTGGCATTACATCTTAGGGGCAAGGGATTCCCAACCATTTCTATAGAAGCACCTTCAGAAAATGCGTTGGCTCAGCCATGTTGCCAATGGCATCTAATGCCTCGGATGACTTCATGGCACGGGGCGAAATCTGCAAGGGTTCCATAGCTGGTTCCGGATCCTGCGGCACACCCATGTCCCCAGGAAACCTGTCCCTTCTGAATTCTTGGCGATTTGAAGCTCTCAACGTGGTTTTGCATGGTGCTTAATAGATCTTAATAGATCTTAATAGATCTTGTGGATAAGAGTCACATCAGAACCCTGCTTTTTTTGGGGGTATCTTGATCCTCCCAGATCCCAAATCGGTGCTCGCCTTGCCCATGAAATCCGACATCCAATCCGTGGTCGGAGCCACGCCACTGACGCCACTGGGCCACTTGTCTTTCAATTTGGCGATGCGCTGCCGGAGGTCCTTCATGGATCTTCATGGATAGTGGGTAGATTGGGAATAAAGAACCATCAAACTATTCAGCAAGACTAGATCACAGTGAATAGATATCAATAGAATTCAATAGATATGAACATATATCCAAACATTCACCACTTGTCGATCCTCTTCCTGAAGAAAATTTGAAGGAAATTCATGGAATTTCCATACTGTATCTATGTTGGTTTACTGGATGGAACACATTTCAAGACATCCTCCCATTTCTCAGAATGGAAACAATGGGGAATGGTCATCATCCTATTTCAGCTAGGCAAATACCTTCGATCATAGCTGGTCAAGATTCGACCTTCGCAATCCTTATCAGTTCACAAACATTTTGTTGGGGTCGTCTAACTGGGGGGTTGGTTAAATCGTCATGATATTATCTAGAGATTTGGTTTGTTGGATATACATCCCAAAATTCCATTCATATTCCATTACAGTAATATTCCCTGCTCTAAATATTCCACTAATATCCCCATGATCCATCATATTCTTCTCCATTATTCTTGCTTTTATATACCCATATCACTGGAAAACTCACAAATTTCTTGGACCCAAGCTGCGGCGGTCCTGCTCCGCAAGGGTCAGTGCCAAGCGATGGAATTCAATAAATGTGGCCTCATTCACCGGTCGCCTCGAGCTGCCACAGGGGTTGTTGTTACTGTTGTGTTTTCTTCAATGGAATATATTGCCTGGAACCTGCCGGGTGCCATTTTGTACGGATGACCCTTATAAAATGACAACAGGGCTTTCCAAAATGAAAATTAAAAAATGCTGCTTTTATAAAGTGACAAATCCGAGAGTTATAAAATCTGAGATCCTTTCGCTTTTTGAAAAAAGGGATCATATAGTGCCAATGGTTTCCGGCCCTAGGTTCAAAGGCCGTGTTGACATTTTGTAAATTTAAATTTAGGACCAGAAAACTCTACAAATCAAGAGGCCCTCAGTCCCACAACATATGTTTCATTTTATAACCCGAGCATACCAGAGATACCGGGTCATTTCATATGAACAAAACACATCCAAAACATTTTTTGAGCGTATATGTTTTCACTTTTTTTTGCAGGAAATACCGCAATCTTCAAAAGAAAACCACACATAAACAAACACGGTACACTATAAAATGATAAATCAATGGAAATACACGTATGTGCAAATAAAATGTGTGTACCAATGACGGTTATTTAAAAATCATATAAAATGACAAATTGATTCATCTTCATCAAGTACATGTATCTGACATGTCATAAGATAGCACAGCTTAGGTGTTATAAAATGACAAATGTATCCACTGCAAGAGTCAGTGGCTTACAGAATGCCAATTGCGGGCAAGCAGTGATGTTAGAACCTGCGGTGCAGAGTCTTGCATTTAAAATATCAATCATGTGTCATAGTGAGAATTACATAACAGCAATCTCCATTTGCGTCATTTTATAAAGAAATGAGTTTTTTAGTATGCTTCTCCACATATCTATTTTATATTTTTCTTGTGAAATGCGTGTTCTGGCACACTTCACTGAGTCAGCTTGAATACAACTTTATCAGATCAAGCAAAAGGATGCAAAAGGTACCTGCTCCAAATTCTTATGAAATGCCATTCCATGGCATACCATCCCAATGTAAACAGTTGAAGGATGGACCATCATTTTATACCAATAAAACACATCGAAAAATAATAAAGGTGACCCGGGCCCGGGGTTGAGTTTTTTTTCCTATTCACAAGGATTAGTCATTTCATAATCCCCAAAAAAAGAAGGCACCCGTATAAAATGGTAGTTTTTCTTTTGAGTTGTCACATAATAATATATGAGGAAACCACCAAAAGTGGTCCCGATTTTTCAGGAGGGGCTTATACAATGACCCGAAAAACGTCCCCCAGGTTGATACACTCAATAAGGAGTATTGAGAGGGGGATTGTGTATATACATGTATATATATATATACCAGGAAGCTGCAGGTGTGCAAAAGACCGCTAATGCTGATGATCGCTTGTTTCATGTATGTTTCCCCCTGTTGCATGTTTGCACCATGTCGCCTTCGCCACTTCTAAACCCCAAGGAACCACGCTATTGGAAGGGACGCTGAATGGTTGAGTGAGATTCCAAAGACTTGGCAGACTTCCCTACGCTGATCTTACAAGTAGTCGGCATAGATTCTGTTATATCTTTAAATACATGCATTCATCTTTAATACATACCGCAGCCAACTGCCGCATCACGATTCTGTGACATTCTGCGATTCAGTTTGGTGTACTTTCGCTTTCAAGGTGCAAAATGGCGGTATTGGTCCATGATCAAGGCCAACAAAGACAATCAAGAAAGGAACATATGAACAAATCCGAAAAACACTTGAAGCCGACAAAAAAGGGCACTACCTTGAAAGTGTTTTCAAAAAAAGCAAATAAGACACATAAAGGAAGACCCAGGTATACGTTTGTTCAAGACCTGCTGGGATCCTCCTATCAGGGTATGGTAGCCACAGTTTGTCCGATTCGCGATTATGATATTCCCCAAATCAATCTTCTAACCTGAACAACGTCACTTGTTGGAATGTTATATTCTAGGAACCCAAAACATATGGGTTTTTTTTGATCTTTTTTGGAGGCCCCTGGATCCCCCACAGGATTTTGCTGGGTTTTTCAGGAGACCAACAACAAAAACCTTCAGAATCCAGGGTTCTCTGGAGGCCCTGGATAGACTTCTTCCACGGCTTGCCAAATGCGTTGCTGCGTCTGTGGGTCGTTGCAAGAAACGCGAAGGATGAAGGGAAAACACACCTCCTCCCAGTGAGCTTTGGATAAGGCTGAGACCTTTCCTTGGATGCTCTGGATGCTCGTAGCAACAAAGAAAACATCCCAGATTCTCGACGCCTTCAAGGTGAGGTTCCCTGGATAGCTATATAGCTAATATATATATATATATGCTAATATTCATTAATACTCTACCTAGCCTAAATTAGGGTTCATATTGGTTCATGAACGTTTCTGGTGGATGTCTACAGTTGGAGAGTTTTCAACCAATGACAAGGGACAGGGGAGCCGGCCTTGTTGGTTCACGCGAAATCATCACCAAACAAATTCGATCATTGGGGTTGACCAAGAAACAGGGTGTCAATTCACGATCCAGTGGTTTTTCATCATGGTCCCTATCAAAATTACCGTTTTGGGCTGCCATTTGTCTGGACCAACTCCAAGCTTCTTCTGCGACATTCTTCGGCATAGAGGTGACCGCATTCATTGGCAAGCACCTCTTGGCAAAAGGATGCAAAGGCATGGTGAATCGGAAATTGTTCCTCGTTGAACTCCATTTTTCCTTGTTTGTCTCCCATCTTTGTTGCTGAATACACATGAATAGACCATACTTGCCATACTTGCCATACTTGAATGTTGTTGCTATTTTGCAAGTACCGTTATTTGATGTGCTAGTATCATGGTATAATCATGGTATACCCCAGTAAATTCATCGGCTTTCCCTCATGGTTTCGGCGCATGTTTCGGCCTCATCACTGAGTTTACTGAGGATCTGCTGCCGGAGAAAGGTGTACTTCTCGTATTGCTGCCGTGAATCCTCCGGGTCGGCCCTGGAACTGCAGAAATTTCCCATGGCGCATGGCGCTTCGAGACACAAACCCACGTTCCCATGAGCCGTTGCGGCTCCCGGCAGCGGCCACAAGTTCTGGAGTTATATACAAAGTTACTACGGGATGCACTTGAGTACAAACATGAAATAAAGACAAAAAAAAACATACAGATACAGATATACTTAATAGCACTTAATTAATAGTCTTACTGTAGTGAAACTGGATGAATCTGCAAACTTCCACTCATTCCTCAAATTTCGGAGCAGGAAAAACCACTTGGCCCACCCGAAAACCTTGCCTCAGATTCGCCGGTGTTTCAGCCTCAGAAACTGGCTCGTTTAAAGCCACTGTTTCATGGACGGGCCAAGGGGCCGTATAGCTCACTGACTTGTAACATACTAATACATGTTGTAATACTTTTATAATGCATGTTACATCATTTTCCTCGGACCTACCAACCATTCAGCGACCAGCATGGGACAAGTGACCTGGTAGAAATGGGCTACAAGCTGTCAGAACCAGCAAATGTATAGACAACTGGCGGACAAAAAAAGTACAGCATCTAACACTCTACAAGCTTGACACTTTGACCCATATTCACGCGCACCTCGTCGTGTCTAGATACATATCTGGTTTATCTGTTCATGGCTCTGCAGCCCAAGATTGAGATGGAGCGTATCTGGTTGGTGGTTGAGCCCCAACCCAAAACGGATGGGAAAGTCATTGATTGGGATCATAATCCCTGGTAGGAAGTGAACGAAATAAAGCTACGAATCATATTCCAGATACTTCTGGTCAATTTCCACATTCTAGCATTGGTGATTCTCATGATCATGCGGGAATATGATATGATGGATTATGATGGGGACATTACCACTTTTTCAACATGGGGACATTGGGACGTGATGCAATGGTGGACATAGCGATTGATATCGATGGAGGTTTTGACAATAATTGGTATCATTTTTTTGTAAATAACCGATGTATTATAAAAAGTTGATTATCAGTATACATCGGTTATTTACAATACAACTTTTTATAATACATCTGTTATAATACATCTGGTTTTTGTAGGTAGTTATCATTATTGCAAATTATAATGCCAGATATTTTATGATATTTTACCGTAATTACATGTAATTACAGTATCATAATCCCATTCGGTTTGTCTCACGGATATGTGATAGTACCAGTATTTTACCATTCTAATTGGCAACATCACCAGTAAACCAGTAAACCATAGTGATATTACCAATAACCCAACAATTATCATATTGTTATTGGTAGTATCACCAAACAATGGTAAACCATGGTGACATTGCCAATATGTGGTAGGATCACAATAACCCATTTAAATTAGTCTATATACATATAATCTGGGTAAATTATAATATTTCACTAACCTGAATTAAGGCCATTTGGGAATGATTCCCCTTACTAACCATGATTCCAGTGAGGTCGCAGTGAGGTCGTTATAATTTACCCAGATACATATAATGGACAATGACCCGCACATTACTACAGTGGTTTACTGTTCTCCGATATTTTTCTGGGCAAGATCCGATCGACTGAGATCCATGTTTTTAATTGTCCATTATTATGGTAATCGGTATCCAATAATACCATTATCTATACCAAATATATATTGGATTGTCCATACTATAATAATAATCATTACCGATGATAATCCATAATTATAATAATAATATCTACCAGTTATATTGTTTACTATAATAATCCAATAATATCATTATAATATCATTATAATTATGCAAACCAACTATCCGATGAGATCCGAGATACCTTGGGCAGGCTTTCAGTGTCCGCATCTAGTGCACCTGAGGCCGTGGAGGCCGTGTCTCCGTGCCCGGAGATCCGGCCAGGCGCATGTTAAGATGGATGATGTTTCTGTCAGAATATGGAATATGTATGGAATATGTATGAATATGTAGATATAATTAACATTTATTTAGTAGATTTTCTGTATTAATCTAAAGGTCGAGGTATAATACAGAACAATTTCTGATTGCACTTTTCCAGGGCTAACATATCTCTTGCATCTGCTCAGGGAATGGATCTAAACCCAAGAATACGTAGTAGTATCAACCACAGATAAGCAACCAGCATTTCCGGCAACTATCCTCACCGTTGGCAAGTTTGCAATCCCTGTGCTTGATGGTCATAGCAGGTCTGTCCGAAACTAGTGTGTACCCTCTGGTAATTCAACATAGCTACTGAACATGGCCCATTTCTAGTTGATTTACCTATTAAACATGGTGATTTTCCACAGTTCTGTTACTTTGCCAGAGGGTACCCCATGGATTCAATGATTTTGGAACTTTGGGCGAACCCCCAGGTTTTTGAATAGTTAAAAGTACTCATTGTATAACAATGAAGCTGTCAAAACGCTGTTGCCTTGGTTTTCACACCACAATGTGTGTTGCTATGTGTTGCTTGTGGATGTTCCCCATGGGAAATGAAGAGTTTAAAACGTACCAAAAACCAACGTAGTCTTGGGATGTTCACCCAGGCACAGTAGCGTGGATTGGGCGGAAGTCTCGGGCGCTTCTCCTCTTCGTTGGGCAAGGAGGCCTTGGACAGGACATGCCGCCCAACGTGTATTGTATAGATACATGTGTATGTCTGCACGTGTACATGAATGCATGTGTGTGTGTATATAATATAACATATATATATATATATGTACATACAGAGATACATAGATACATCTACGTTCATGTGTATATATGTATATCAATAAAGAAAATATAATATATATATATACATGAATCATGATATACAAATACATCTACGGTACCCGATTGATGGGTTCAACCGTCGAAAAATCTTTGGGGATGCACCATTACAGTACAAGTTCGCAGTCTACCATTTAGTGTTATATCTAAGAATGCGCACATAATGGGATTCAAACTGCCAGCCAGCAGTGCAATCCGTCCTGCTACCTGTATCACAAGATATTCCATGGCATTGACCAACAAAACATAGTGAGATTCATTTGGTCTGGATCCTAACTGTTACCACAAACCTTGTGTCTTGCCCATAGCTGAGCTTGGTTCATGTCCATTTCCCATCATGAATTGCAACGAGGCCATTAATATCCTCGCAAAATGTCAAACAACAAAGTTTCTGGGCCATGCTTTGTATGGTTCCCAGAAGAAGGTACCCTAAATTGGGATGTCTTCAGATCTTACAGAAATTGCCAATCCGATGGTTCGCCTCAAATACCATCAAAAGTCATTGTTTCAGAGGCTATGAAATGATTCTCCATCAAAATGACTAGCATGACCCCCTTCACCAGCCTTTCATCAAGAATTAAAGTTGATGTCCAAGTAATTGTATATATATATATACCATCTGGTTATTTAACATAGCCATGGAAAATCACTATTTTTAATAGGTAATCCATCTATAAATGGGCCATTTTCCATGGCTATGTTAAATAACCAATGGGTAACCCCGCAATTCCGTAGATCGCTCTGTTGCTACCCATTTTGATACATGGATGGATGGACAAACACCCCACCCCGCCTTCTCCACTCGCAGGGAGGTGACACTGTGTCTGCCCTCAGGCGACCCGGTGAGTTCACAACACGGTGTTCAGGGGATATCAGCATAATATAGGATCGTATAATATAGGTGTATAATATAGATATATATATATGATAATAATATGTCATAATTATATATATAATTATCTACGTTTGATTATCTATATATGATTATCTATGCACATATATAATTAAATATAATTACATATTATATATATACCACAATACATATATGTATAATTATGTATATATATATATAGTAAAGCTGTATGGCCGAATGGTTGAAACATTCTAACATGGACGTTTCACTAGTTTACTATCCAATTGTTAAAAAAGGAAATGTTCATGATAGTCTGCTATCCAAAGGAAAACGATATATTGCTGCGGGCCGGGCCACTTCATACTAGCGAAACCATTGTGTTTTGACGGCAAAATAGTTGGTAGCTATGGATGTTAAGGCTCCCAAAAAACGTATCATACTGAAACTAACCCGACAATCGTGATGACACCAGCTGCAAAGGTCGGCTTGTTTGTTTTTGCACATGGAGATTTGACTATACCACTGAAATTCAGGATCTTTCAATGTTCTTTGGGTGTCCTAAGCACCGATCGGCGACAAAAATGTGTTTGACAATCAGAGGACTTGTCATACTTCCGGCCTCTTGGACCCATCCTAATTGGTCATGGTCAAAATAAAAATTGGATGGCGAGTACTATCTGTGCTTTGGGGCGCCAAGGAACTTCAAATCATGGATAGTCGTTCTTTCAATATCTTTCTGTCATGTATATCATCTGGCTAATATCTTATTGACCGTTGAAGCGCCTTTACAACCACCATTATGACATACTATATGACATATATGACATACTATAGCTAGAACCGGAGGTTACTTCAGGCTTACAATCCACTTGTCGTGGTCGTTGGCCACTCTAAGATAACCGGTTTTTTAGCTGGCTAGTCCGAGTAAAAATGACAAAAGATTCAAGTACTCAAGTGGTTCAAAATTATTGAAGTACCCATTAAATCCCACTAATATTATTCCAGTAAAATACAGTGTGTATATATATATATATATTTACGTATATATGAAAAAATGAAAATATGCATAAATTTGGGGTATCCAAGCTTACCTTCAAAGTTGACCCAGTTAGCCCATTGATCCGCCCATATCCGCCCCCACTTCTCGCGCCTTGATGGGTACGCCACAGTGGCGGCAGTAGTTGGAATCCGACTTGACGACTTCGCCGCAGCCACGGCATTTCACGTCCTGGTGGAGGGTGGCCGATTGGGCAGCGGAAGAGGGCTCTCCTAGCAAACAGCGCTTGATAATAGGAGAATACCTGTACCTTCCTGTTGCTTCAAAACCTCACAGCACCATGAAAAGGAACGTTCATCAATGAGTTTTCATGAGTTTCATCACCTTTTTCAGGCGGCTTGCTATCCAACGACCAAA